GTCCATGCAGAAATAGAAGTACAATGATGTACACCTGAAATTTTTACAATGTTATAAACCAATGTTACTGCAATAAACAAAAAATTAAAAATAAATAAATAAATAAAATTGCTTATTTGTATGCAAAAAAAAAAATTAATTTAAATTAAATTAAAAATTCAAAAAAAAAAATTTCGAATACACTCATGGAAGTGCAGCATGTAAACATTCATTATGTATAACAGACACAAAATGTTTAGCCTTCTATCAGGAAATTATTTCCTACTTTATTTTTATTAAAGATAAGTTTCACTATTAATCATTTCATACTATATTATGATAAACACCACAAGAGGGAGCTTTGGGCACAACCAAATACTCCACCTACTAAACATTGATTAAGGTATGCACAGACATAGTAACAGACTTTATGAAGACCAAAGTAAAGGTATGTTAAGTTTTAGCTGAGTAGACCAGGCATACAAACCTAGATAGATGAAAATGGCCTATGAAGTATAGGACAAATTCTAAATAAGTAAGGACATTATGACATTAGAAGAGTGATCAGTCAGATTAGGATTATCAGGAAGAACTTTCTAGATGAGGTAAAATCTGAGCTGAGCTTGGAAGAATACAGATTGCTGATGAAGGCAGTACAATCAATAGAAGTGAATGTCACACAGGTGGCAGGCATAAAAAAGTAAAGAGAAAAGAAAATCATCTTAATTCAAAATAAACGTCTTCACAAGGTAACAGGAAACAAGATTAGCTATATAAGCATACTGGGAGCTTGTAAAAACCATACAAAAGATGATATTCAGTGTGCTGTCAATATACATTAACATTTAGAAAGTCCGATATATGCAAGTCACTCCCTAGATCCAACAAGGGAATACAAAGAAAATTAACCATGACCCTTCCCCAAATTACTGCCAGGAATTACAGTATACTTACAGAGATAGACAAGAGACATACACTTTGCAACAAATCAACATCATAATTAGCTATGAGGTTAACGGTACTGAATCTATTAATCATAATATGAACTGTTCAACAGATAAAGCACCACAATAGATGGTGTCCCCAAATTTATTCTATGTGCTTCATGCAGATAGGGTTGATAGGAGATGGTAACATAAATTTCTTTTTTTAAAGGAAAAATATAGAAATAATAATGGTGATGGAAATACCCATGTACCTTAATTTATATTTTGTGTCCTACCTCTTCACCTAGATCATTATACACATGAACCAGTTTTTACTGGTAGCAAACGCTTGTCAACATTCTATCAAGGAGATAACTATTTAAGCTATCTGAGTTACTTCTCTTGGATTCACCAAATCTACTAATAAAGTATTCTACAGCTAGATGAATAATTAGGAAAGGAAATGTTTTGATTTGGATATTTTATTACCTTGTTTGAATCATTACACAGTTAGCAAAACTAAATTTATCTTTGTTTAAAACTATGAAGTCCAGATTTAAAGTGTTTCTTTTGTTTTTGTTTCTCAAAAAACTAGCTTTTTTTTCACTTGCTTATTACTTACTTCATCCATCTTCATACATGTGCCAAAATCTGCTAATTTTAGATGTCCATGTTTATCCAAGAGCATGTTGTCAGGTTTCACATCTCTGTGAATTAAACCCATGGAGTGTATGGCATCCAGAGCAAGAACAACTTCAGCAGTATAAAATTTGGCCCATTTTTCAGGTACATCATAGTTACTCATAAGGTTTACAAGGTCTCCACCAGGCATGTACTCCATTACCATGTACAGATATTTATCATCTTGAAAGGCACAAAAGAGCTGGAAAACAAAACAGGAAGAAAAAATTTTTTAAAAAGAAAGAAAATCAAAACCATAACCAGAAAAAAACCCAAAAACCATTATTACTATTGAAAAAGACAAATTATTTTATAATCAAAACAGAGTTGAACTTTATGAAATCTTTGATTTTAGATGTGGACATCTTTAATGGAACAAGTTAGATAAAACTTTTATATGGATATCTTTTTCATGATTACTAACAAAATATGCACAAATAAATCATTTTCCCTCTTAAAGAATACAGGATTCTATTTAAATAGAAATATTTTAAAAGAGAAATAGAATGAGGAACATAAAAGGTGAAAAACGACAGAAGAATTCATAATTTAAAAAAAACAGCTTTTTGAAAAGAAATTACTGCACATAAAGAGAGCTGAGGAGGTAGGAGCAGTTTAGAAAAACCTAAAAGATACCAGATTCAATGAACGCAAGAAGAGGGAATGCGCCCCATACCACCGGAAAGAGTAATTGGTAGCCCCATTTGGAACAAGGTCTTCTCCTCTCTCCCCTTCCTTATCATCTTGCTCATAATAAGCAGCAAGTGGCAGTGTTACCTGCACCCAGACTGAAGCAGTGGCATTGGGACCAGAGAAATAAGACACTAAGCTAGGTTGCTATGAACCCCCAAGAGAGACAGAGAAACCACAAATTCAGAAGGAAAGGTATCTCTACATTCTACCCAACAACATGCCCTACCCCTCTTGGAAGCAAGCAATGCAAACAGAAAAGGTTTCCACAAACAAATACGGAAAAGATAGGACAAAACTAAGAATCAACATTCGAGAAAAACCAACATCATGAAATAGAGGCAAAGCAGTTCAAGAAACAGAAAATTAATAGTCAAGGAAATGCCTAACAGGGCAAACTAAGAACAGCTTTAAATATGTAAAAATCAATAGCCTCAAAAGAGTAACATGTCTCAGCAATTAAACAACAGGCTGATATGAAAAAAAAATCTGAAGCTTTGGAATTAAATATATGATTGATGATAAGAGAAGAACAAATTACAGAGCTAGAAAATTAGGCAAAGAAACTTTCTCTGAACACACTGAAGGATTCAGAAATGAAAAACAGAGCAAAGTTAGCAAAGCTCCAACATCCATCTAAAAGCAGTATGGAAGAGAGAACACAGACCAGAAGAAAAAGAAAGAAAGAAATAGTAAATAAAATTTTCTAGAAATGAGTGAAGTTACAAATCTAAGATTGAAAGGACCTCTGAATGAAAAACAGAGAAACTAATACAGTGCTAAACTTGCAGAAATTCAACAGAAAAATCCTAAATTTCAAAGAGAAAAGATGCTTTATGTACAAAAATATAAAATAAATCATATTGGCAACAAACTTCTCAGCCAACACAATGAATACAAAGACAACAGAGCTATATCTTCAAGTTTTGAGGGAAAATAATTTGATCCTAGAATACGGCTGACTAGAAAACAAATGAGATGGCAAAATAAATATGCATTATATCATGAAAATTCTTAGAAGTTTTATAACTAACAAACAACTTCTCAAAAAATTGACCAAGGGTGTAGTCTGACAAAACGAAGAATAAATCTAAGTAAGAGGATTATGTGAAACATAAGGAAAAGGGGCAAATAAAGAATCTAGAAAAACTTATTAAATATAATTACTGACATAAACTTAAATACTTACTTGAGAGAGTCAAGCCAAAATCAGAATAATTTTAAAATGGAAGGTGGTGGAATGCAGGGAAGGAAGGGATGGAAAAGCATTATAAAGCTGGCTACCAAATTAAGAAAAACTGTGTGTATGTATAATGCTATTTAACTCTAAATGATAAAAGAATTAAGATGTAAATAAATGTAAAGGCACTGCATATTCTTGGATCGAAAGATGTTATATTATAAAGATGCCAGTTCTCCCCAAATTGATCAACAGATTCAATGCAAACTCTATCTAAAATCCCAGCAGGTTTTTTCTAGAAATCAACAAACTGATCCTAAAATTTATATGGAAATGCAAAGGACCAAGAAGAGCCCAAACAATCTTGAAACAGAACAAAGTAAGAAGACTTATATTTCCCAATTTCAAAACTTGCTATAGAACTACTGTTAGCAAGATAGTACTGGTATAGTATAAGGATAGACATATAGATCAATGGAACAGAACTGACACTTAGGGAGTCCCCAAGCCACCTGCATCTCTGACTAACTGACTACAAATTCAGGAGTTCTCATGACCCCCTCAGGTTCGATAACTCACTAGGATGACTCATAGACCTCGGGAAAGCACTATACTTAAGATCACAGTTTTATTATAAAGAATACACATAGGGCCAGGTCTGGAAGGGAGCACAGAGCTTCTGTGGCTTTTCCTTGTGGAATCAGGATACATCACCCTCCTAGCATATCAATGTGTTCACCAACCAGGAAGCTCCACTGAGTGTCAATGTCCAGAGTTTTTATTAGGGTCTCAATTACACAGGCATGATTAATTAAATCATCGGTCGTGTGATTAAACTCAATCTCTAGTACCCTTTCCCTCCCTGGAGGTTGGGTGCTGAAAGGCCCAATCCTCTAATCACGTGCTGGTTCCTTATGGTGATCAGCCCCCATCCCAAAGCTATCAAAAAGCCACCAAGATGATATTAGCTGTGGGTTTGTCACATATGGCCTTTATTATGTTGAGGTACTTTCCTTCTATCCCCATTTTATTCAAGCACCATGTCTGACCGGGCAAGAGAAACAATAGAAAAAACAAACAAATGGGACTACATCAAACTAAAAAGCTTCTGCACAGCAAAGGAAACCATCAACAAAACAAAAAGACAACCTAACAATTGGGAGAAGATATTTGCAAACCATATATCTGATAAGGGCTTAACCTCCAAAATATATAAAGAACTCATGCATCTCAACAAAAAAAAAACTAACAACCCAATTAAAAAATGGGCAAAAGACCTGAACAGACACTTCTCCAAAGAAGATATACAGATGGCCAACAGACACATGAAAAGATGTTCAAAATCATTAACTATCAGGGAAATGCAAATCAAAACTACAATGAGATATCACCTCACGCCTGTCAGAATGGCTATAATTAACAAGACAGCAAACAACATGTGTTGGAGAGGATGTGGAGAGAAGGCAACTCTCATACACTGCTGGTGGGAGTGCAAACTGGTGCAGCCACTATGGAAAACAGTATGGAGATTCCTCAAAAAATCAAAGATAGAACTACCATATGATCCAGCTATTCCACTGCTGGGTATTTATCCAAAGAACTTGAAAACACCAATGCGTACAGATTCGTGCACCCCTGTGTTCACTGCAGCGTTATTCACAATAGCCAAGACTTGGAAGCAACCTAAGTGCCCATCAAGGGACGAATGGATAAAGAAGATGTGGTATATACACACAATGGAATACTACTCAGCCATAAGAAACGATGAAATCCAGCCATTTGTGACAACATGGATGGACACTGAGCGTATTATGCAAAGTGAAATAAGTCAGAGGGAGAAGGTCAAATACCGTATGATTTCCTTCATTAAGTAGTAGATAATAACAACAATAAACAAACACATAGAGACAGAGATTGGATTGGTGGTTACCAGAGGGGAAGGGGGGAGGGAGGAGGGCGAAAGGGATAATTCGGCACAAGTATGTGGTGATGGGTTGTAATTAGTATTTTGGTGGTGAACATGATGTAATCTATGCAGAAATAGAAGTATAATGATGTACACCTGAAATTTATACAATGTTATAAACCAATGTTACTGCAATAAACAAACAAACAAACAAGAAAGCCACCAAGAGCTGCCTCATCAACATAACAAAGACACTCCTATCACTTAGGAAATCCAAGAGTTTCTGAAGCTTTGTGCTAGAAACTGAGGACAAAGACCAAATATATTCTTTTTATTATACCACACCATACAATGGAATATTATTCAGCACTAAAAAGAAATGAAATACAACACATGCTACACTGTGCACAAACTTCAAAAAGTGTATGCTAAGGGAAAAAGATCAGATCCAAAAGATAGCATATTGTATGATTCCACTTATCTGAAATATCCAGAAAAGGCAAACTATAGAGACAGAAAGCACATTAGTGGGTGCTTGGGGCTGGGAGGGGAATGGGAAATTACTGTAAATGAGTACAAGTAATCATTTGGGGATGGTGGAAATGTTCTAAAATCAGCTACCCATTGTAGTTATGGGTGCACAACTCTGTAAATTTCCTAAAAATCACTGAATTGTACAAGTCAATCTTCAAATAACTTAGCATAGCTTTATTCATAAGAGACAAAAACTGGAAACAACCCAAATGTGCATAAACAGATGAATGGATAAACAAACTGACATACATCCATACAATGGAATACCATTCAGCAATAAAAAGAAAAGAGCTATTGATATACTGCATCATGGATAAATCTCAAAACAATTTTGCTGAGTGAAAGAAGCCAGACAAGATGGGATTAAAGTTAGATTGGACACTGTAAAAGAAAAAAATCAGTGAACTTAAAGACATAGTATAAACACCATACAAAATGAGGCACACCAGAAAAAAGAAAAGACGGTAAAAAAACCCAACAGAATATCAGTTACCCATGGGACAACATCAAGCAGATTATACATGTGTAACTGGAGTCTGAGACAGCGGCTGGAGGCAGGGGGGAGAGGAGGCTAAGGGGCAGGAGCTGAGACAGAAAAAATATTTGAAGAAATAATGGCCAAAATTTTCCCAAATTTGATGAAATTTATAAACTCATAGATCTAAGAAGCTCAATCAATATCAAGCAAGTTAAACACAGCTATTTAAAACACTGTGGTACTGATGGTAAGAATAGACAAAATAACTAAACGGAATAGAAAACCCCAAAATAGACCCACACACACATGAACAAAAGGAGGCAATGTATACCAGTGGGGAAAAGCAAGTTTTTTTCAATATGTGATGTTTCAATAACTATACCTCCACGTGGCAACAAATAAAACAATCCTTAA